TAGAAGAATAAGGAAGAGCTAAAAAGGTAGGGAAAAAATAAAGAGAGAATAAAAAGAAAATTAGAAGAAAGAGAGAACAGAGAATATCTAAGAAGATAAAGATGGATTGATTTGCTACTGCTTTGATTTCCTTGCTGGTGCCTGATGGAGTTGGACTCGTTTCGTSTAATCTCTCCAAGAGGAGTGATGAAGAAATAACAGAAATTCAGTAGAGTTCTCTTCTCTCAACTCCAGTACTGCCMCCTTCTCCTATTTCGAATTTTCGATCCAATCTACTAAGCCCTTTTCTGAAAAGTAAAAAGAAAAATCTCTTTCTCTTTTTGATCTCTGAAGCGTCTCATTTTACTTTCCAGCCATGAAAGATCACCCCTTCTGCATTTTGAGATCTATTAATCAATGATCACGTAATCGATTTTTTCCTTTTTCTTTTTTCTTCCCATTTGTGTACTTTTTCTCTTTGAATCACTTTCACCAATAGCTTGGCAGACTACAATGGAAATCCGAGTGTTTTATTTTTAATAAAGGGTAAAATAGTAAATTAGCAATGTATGTTRGTGAAATTACCGTTTGAACGTTTTAAAAAAATATTATGGAGAATTTAAGAAAATTTATAAAAAGTGATGGTGGATTTTGAGCAATTTACCCAAAATATAATAATAAATTGATAATGGATTGTACTATATTTGTTTGTTTCATGCCATATTGTCCTATTTCTTAATCAAGATTATCTTCTGAAAGTGACCATTCGGGAGGATATACATTAACTTTCAAACTGTCATTAAATTTAGATTTTCGTGGCTGCAATATCTGTCTTGATTGTGTGTAATTTGTTAATGAAATGACAAATTGACAAAATGACAAAATGACAAGCACCCAAGCGGTGTCCATATTTGGTCATCATATTCACCCGCTTTTTTTGGGGGGGAAATTGTAGTAAACTACAGTGACACTTAAGGCCCAAACGTTCACTTCCAACAATTATGTACCCTCTATTTTCAAATTTCAAAGCTCCACTACCTCTCTGTTAACAGACGTTACGGTAAAGTTAAGTTTAGTAAAATATCAAATTTAAGTACAGAAATGATTTAGAATTCATAATTAAAATGATAGGCGCTCTTTTTACTTAGGGGGTGTTTTTTTTTTTTAGATTTTGAGAGGGGGAAATTTGGTTAATGGGATTTGTATTGACCAAGAATTTCATTTTTTTTTTCAGTTTTACATAGGGACCAAGGAAAGTTTAGTTTTGCTACTCAGGAAAGTGATACTCATCTTCTAGGTGGGTAATAACTTTTCCACGTAGGGGGAGGTTATTAACACTTGAATTGGACAAAAATGTCCCTTTTAATAATGAATTTCTATGGCTAAAATGGTCATTGCCCTATTTACCTGAGAAATAAAAGAACATGAATAAATGCACTTACCCGGATAAGTGTTTTTTAGGAAAAACTTACCCAGATAATTGCATTTATCCGGTCAATTTGGAAGGAGTACAAATGTAAATATGTAGAGTGCAAAACTATGTATTTTATATTATTTTGTATGTATCTGTATTTGTACTCCTTCCAAAATGAGCTTTAGGCATTCTTGAAAAGTCAAATGAATAAGACAAAAAAAAAAAAAAAGAAATGATCTTGTATCTAAAAATGATGGTTAATCAAATGTCGTAAGCATAGATTTCAACAAACATGTATAGGACAAACCTACCCAGATAATTGCATTTATCCGGTCAATTTGGAAGGAGTACAAATGTAAATATGTAGAGTGCAAAACTATATATTTTATATTATTTTGTATGTATTTGTATTTGTACTCCTTCCAAAATGAGCTTTAGGCATTCTTGAAAAGTCAAATGAATAAGACAAAAAAAAAAAAAAAGAAATGATCTTATATCTAAAAATGATGGTTAATCAAATGTCGTAAGCATAGATTTCAACAAACATGTATAGGACAAACCTATGACTATATGATATGGAAAAAATCAAAACAAATTTGAGTTTCAACAATGAATAATAATATATTTGGTGTTGCTGCTAGATATGGGGCCAAGGTTAATAAGGTAATTTCTTTAGCATCCGAGGCTGATTGGTCCGATTTGTAAAGAAGAGAAGAACACACGTCAGAAGCCCCAGGTGTTAGACCAAACAAGAGACGAGAGTTTAGAGTTTAGTCCTTAATAGCCGAGAATGATAACATGGATCCTTACCTTGAATTGAGTGCCCACTTTTATAGCTAACCTTGCCTTAGGAGTGGTTGGAAGCAATTGGTGATGTATGGCTAGGATTTGATCTAGCCAACGCCACATGGCACGATCAAAGGCCTGCCAAGTATCCCTACATCACTTGCCCCCCCCCACTCTCGAAGCTGTAGTAGTCGGGGCCTTTGACGTGTGTTCTTCTTTTATTTATAAATCAGACTAATTGGCCTCGAATGCTAAGGAAATTACCTTGTTGCCTTCGGTTTCATATATGGCAACAACATTTGGTATAATTAAAAATGAATACTTGTTTGATACACTGTTTATTGTATTAAAAAATACGGAATGAAGTTTTTTTATATATGTTACATTTATATGTCTATTCTATTAAAATATGCATATATAAATTCTATATTTATTTTTGCTGTTTTTTATGGGAGGGGAAAGAACTAAGAAATGGAGGTTGGGGAGGAGAGTAATTAAGTTGAGGTCTTCAAATAAAGTTGAGCCTCACCTAACTTTGAGCAAAATTCAAAAAAGAAAACTAGTAATTAACCCTGCAAAACATGGCAGGAAGGTGGCTTTGTTATTCATGAATCATCGAGCATACTAAGCTTTTTTCCCTATAGGCCCTAGCTTCAACATCAAAGCAACAAAAGCTATTTCAAATAGATCAGCCATATATATTGGCCAAAGCGTATTATATTATTGGTCATACTTCTTAAATTTGAATTAATCACCGAAGAAAGAAAGAAAGTTGATAATTAATGGGGGCATTTGTGGAACAACATGGCATCATATTAACGGGGCAAATTTGCAATTAATCAATGGGGGCCTTTGTGGAACAATATGGGGGCAAGTTTGCAATTAATCATATTAAGTTCCCTTAGCTTTTTGGTAAGTTATTTATTCATGTTTTTTTATTTTTTAGATAAATGACAATTGCTGTTTTAAGTATAAAAAAATCATTACTAAAAAGAACATTTTTACAACTTCCCCATAGTGGGGTGAAAAAATTGTCACATAAATTTGAAAAAAAAAAAAAGAAAATAGATTTCCTGATGCACCCACACTTAAAACACCCCTTTCATTACTTTACTGCCGCCTTATAACCCTGTTCCCTGTGTCAAAGTTTTAAATTAGAGCCCGAAGGGCTTCTGCCGTTTGCCTTTGGGATGCATTTGCCTTTAAGTAGTGGTTTGGATGTTTGGACAGAAGTTCATGTTGGCTTTCCAGATTTTTAACAAACACAGCTTCTAACATCTCTGCATGGTCCCGTCTCAGAATCCCTCCCAAATGGACACTTATATTAGCCACAATAGCTAAGACGTTTGGATCAGGGATGCATATAATATTTTGGATTTTAATTAGGGGTGACTGGTGAGCATTTTGGATTTTAATTAGGAGGAGTTTGGGAATGATGGCAAGTCGGCAGTAAGATTAAACACTCGACGGCAGCCGGCGCGGCGGCGTAGGCGCCAGGCGCTGTTTGGGAACAACGGCAAGAAGAAGAAGAACGACGGCAAGAAAAAGAAGAACGAAGGGCGACGCCGACGGAAACTGGATGTGAAGAAGAACGAATGAGGTCTGATGAAGGAAGGAAGAGCGGAAGTCTGGCCGTCTGGGTCTGGGACTCTGGTCTGATGGTCTCTAGAGTCTGGAGTCTGGAAGGAAGACTTAGCGGCTTAGTCTTTGTCTTTTGACGCCCGCGCAGGCTTTCACTCTTTCAGATTGAGGAAGATGAAGAGTCGAACAGTGAAAGTGTGAAAGACTTTCAGACTTTCACTCTTTTTAGAATTTACCTAATACGTACGTTATAGATTGAGGAAGGAAGATGAAGAGTCGTAGAGTGAAAGTGTGAAAGACTTTCAGACTTTCACTCCTTTTAGACTTTACCTAATACGTACGTTATGCTTATTTTGGAAATTTGGCAAATAGCTAAATCAAATACGTATTAATTTACTAATTATTAATATAAAATTATAAAGTATAATATAAATAAGGGAAAATTTCTGATTAACACCTTCTACTTTAGCCTTAGTGCCCCGAATTTTAAAACGAGATAATTGAGTACTCAAAATTTCAAAATGTGTCAATTCACCTTTGAGTACCATCTAATTTTCTTTATCAGCTATCCATATGTTGATAAAAAATGATCAGTTTCAAATCCTTGCCTCTTCTATTTAAGAAATACGTCTTAGTGGCCATTCTAGTGACCTTAACTTTCTTGAACAGAAAAGGTAAGGATTTGGGACTATTCATTTTTTGTCAACATTTGGATGGTTGATAATGAGAATTAGATGACACTCGAAGGATATTTATGTCTTTTCAAATGGCACTTAACGACCGATTAACGGGTTAGTTAATGACAGGTAGTGGATTGGCACATTTTGATAGTTCAGGTATTAAATTGTCGCATTTTAAAGTTTAGGGACCAAAGTGGCACTAGACCCAAAGTATGGGGTACTAATATAAAATTTTTCCTATAAATAATATTAAAAATATATAATTATAAAATTAAATCAATTTTTTTAGTTAACCAATTTATCAAATATGATAACCAGAACCGAAAACTGAAATATAAATAAACCGAATAGTAAAACTGAATCCAACCGAAAAACCGATTAAGCCGAATCAATTAAACCAAAACCAAAATTTTAGATCAGTTTTTGGATTTTAACCAATTATGCTCACCCCTAGTTTTAATCATATTCAGAGATTTTATTAATATTCCAAACAAAACAACAAATTAATAAAGGAATGAAGCAATTTTCTTTTTATGAATTTCCTCCTTCGTATTATATTGAACAATATGAAGATACAAATGCTTAGAGTGAAGAGTATCAAACTTCATTAATTAATCTTAAAAATGCTTTTTGGTCTATTACACTTTCACTGGTAAATCTATACTCCTCCGGATCCATGCAATAGGCGAAGACAACCTTATGTCCATTTACAAATTTAAACTGTATGAGTTTGTTACAACCTTTACAGAAGACAAAGAGAGAGAGAAAGAACTAAAGAAAGAAGATATTCATTTTCAATTTGAGTATTGGTTTGAGTTATCCCACTCATGCATTTTCGGCAATCCACTTGGCACGTGTCACGCATATTACCTAATCCCTTATTCCCATCTCGACCTAATAACCAGCTGAGTGGGTGGGTGG